TAATTTGTATGAAACTCTCAATGGACCCATCTCTGATGGTGTAAGGATTTACAATAAATTTCTAGAATCAATTAAAAAGGAAACTACTGTCTTTCAAATTCAGAAAATATCTCGAAACTTTTGTTGTCAAAAATGTTTTATAGTATCAAAGAATTTTATACCAGCTAATTAGATACTTTCACTCAATAATAAATTTCAATTTACTTAATATACACTATTTCTAAAATTGTCAATTTTAAATGTGAATTTACTATAGATAACGTGTTTTATATTACTTTCACTGTAATCTCTAAAACCAATAAATGAAATGATAATATTATAAAAAATCTGTGTGAAACTATACTATCAATACTATTACAATAAAAGACATACCTGCATCATATGGCGCACTTGAGTCGGTTCACATCTCTCAATCAATTCATTAATAGCCATTATCCTTTCAGCATTAGACCAAGTACTGAACTGTGAGAGCCATTCCGACATCTCAGGTGGAGGATTATCTTTGGTAGGAATAACAGCCCTGGGGCGGCCACTAGGAGTGCATGGCCCCAGAGAGGGCACGTTGGTTTTGTTATCAGACATTGTGCTGCAGGGTGATTCTGGTTGGCGTTTCTTGGTTGGATATCCATTATTGACATCCAACTTACGTTTACGCTAAAATCACACAAAAAAAGAATATTCAAAAGACAACTGAATATCTCATGAAATTATTTTTGGATTTTGCTATACCTGGTCAGAGAGAAGATTAAACATTTAATCATGGTTAGTCAACACTGAAGTGATACTAACTCTAGTCAAGAATTGTTCATCATTTTGTGATCAAGATTTTGTGTGAATTTGATACATAATGGTCCTGAATTTGCATCAAAAACACTTGAAGAATTTTTTTGCAAGCAATAATTAGGCTCAGACAACACAATCCAAACATTTATATTGTTTCTCACACATAAACCTAAATGTATGGTAGATTTATATGACTACCTACTTAAACACTTCTCAAAAGAGTATACCCTCAGGAGGAATAACAAATACATACAATAAAATTTTGAGAAACTATTTCACCTTAGTTATTATATTATAGATACAACTTACTATGCCTATCCAACAAAAACACTTAACCTACACATTGGAAAAATGAAATTTTTTAATAAATATTTCTCATCTTCCAATCGGCATGCCAATATAATTGAAGTTGTGGATTATATGTCGGTACCATGATCTAGGAAAATGTTTGGATATACCCTTTATACTTTCAACACCTCTGACTTTCTCAATGATGTTAGACAACTTTGCCATAAAACTTGACATAAGGCATTTCATGTAACCATAGTAAGAACATCTGCTATTAAAGATCTGGTACTTTACTATAGATAGTACCACGCACATTAGCTCTATATTATTCACCTACATTAATTATCTTTTAGAGATGATTTGCAGTATCGAGGTAATTTCGAGGTACAAGTTTGTGATTTCATAGCTTTTCAATGGGATGAAACATTAATTCTCGCCTATATGAGTGCCTCTATCGAGATATTCCTAGGAAAGTGACCAATGCATGAGTAAACTCAACCGAAAACAAAACAGATCAAATGTCTTCAAGACAAATTTGTTCATTATTTGCCATCGAACACTATTGCAAATATCTTTAGCAAATATCTTGGTCGGTCGGTAGCCAAGCGGTTCGGCGTGGGTGATTTGTTCACTCACTCGAATTGACTGCCGTGTTGGTCGGTGGTTCAAGCCCTAGTCTGAACGATCGATCTTCACTTGCTATGGTCCAACCCGTGTTAGGAATCACACGTTAAAAGGTAAGACCTCGTTAATCCTTAGCTCGCACAAGTTTCGACTTCTGAGGGTTGTCGTTCGTAGGGGTGCGACAGCTGGTTAACGGAAAAACAGATTTTAAACGTATTTAAATAGATAGTTCCCAAAATTCATTCATCTATGAAAGAATTGGTGATGTGCACCCTACCATCTTTCTGGAACCAATGAGCTCAACTGTTTCTTAATTCAATAGCTTCAGGAAAAATTCTCGAAAGAATTAGCAAGTTTTAACGTCACTGAAAATATATAAAAAATATAAATAGTAAAATCACTCCGGATGGCTTATATTTTGACCTTTCGAAAACATCGTGACATACATAAACTATAAGACTATGGCACCAGAGAAATATGCAATAATTGACAAATCGTACCCAAGCCATCTGTATCAAAGAAAACGGTAGACAATATAATTCAAGAGAAACTACTGTAGGGGAGTGCCGCGGGGCTCGATATTGAGGCCAATTATTTTTTCAATATATGCCACTCACCTACCAAAAACCTCTCAATCCCGGATTGATATAAAAATTTGCAGATGATACATCAGTAATGACCCGTGGGCAAAATAATGTACAGCTATCGGAAATGGCAACAATGATTGATCCCAAAATGAATGACTGGTGCAGAAAGTTTCCTTGAAACTTTATAAAAATGAAACTGATACAATTATGAATTCAAGAGCCTTAGACTTGTCCTCAAAAACCAAATGAAAGCTGCATATGATATTTTTTTAAATTCTATAAAGGAATCTGTAGTGACTAATCCTCAATCATTGTGGTCATATGTACATTCCAAGAATAGAACTTCCCATATTCCAGGTAGGATGAAATATGATGACTTTGCTATTGATTCTCCAGATGAAATTGTACATAGTTTTTCAATTTTTTTCACAGTACATATTCACACTCTGCAGTTGATGAAAATACTTTGCATCCATGCTTATCAAATTCAAATTGTTTTTATAATAATATAAACGAACAGGAAATCTTGATTGCAGCACGTTTTCTTTCATTTTATAATTTTGTTATTCATTTTCTCAAATTGTAACTTTGTAATTATAAGAATCTATGTTACTTTTTTAACATACTTAGTTAACCCTGTAAATGGTTTTTAACTGTTGGGTAATAAAGGCTATTATTATTATTATGAATCCCTTTATGATAGGTTTTCTAGCTGTTACGCTTGACCCATGTCTTAATTTGGAAAATCACAAAAATGTATCAGACAGTTCGATTTGTAGGTTAATTTACTACATAAGAGATCAAATATCAATCAACAGCATAAAGATTTATTACTTCACACATGTTCAATTCATTATCACATATGTAATAATTTTCAGAGACACTTCCACTAGTGCAAACAAAATATTGCATCACATAAAAAAGTATAAAATGATGCATGTTGAAAATTGGGTACACATGTTCACACGCGAATCATATCAGAAATCTAGAAATACTCACTGTGCCCTCATTAAATTTTTTACCTCTTGTTATGTTTGTCAAAAAGAAGCCCCCCTTTTTCTTGCAACTACGACTCATATACTATTGACATGGAGATAACGATCAGATGGTGAAATAACCTTGCTATACCCACTCATAAATCCAACTAGTTTGAGGCTGATACTGACTACCAAGCTATGAAGGCATATAACTATTTACCAACAAAAATAAAGGACTTTCAAAGAGCTGTCAAAAACATCTGAAGGAAAACACTTATTTTCTTCTGCCTGTTGGCATCCCTGAGGCGTTTCATGATATTTTTATTTTACTATTTGTATTTTTTATTCAACTGATACATGTATTATATTTTGAATATGTTTTTGATAGTGAAATTTGCTTTATTATGTGCTCATTTCCTTTCTTCGTGAAGTTGCTTGTACTTTGTACTTTATGATAATAAAAAGCTTTTCATTATATTGTGGAACATTAAAGGACACTAAATGATTGACAAATTTTAGAGCATAAAATTAGATGATGACAGTCCACTTGAAAAAACCAAGGTCTTGATAATCAAACATTTTTTGGATTTGTTTCCATGTTTAAACCTTGGACAATATAAGATTCAATGTAAATTGATTACACAAAGTGAAAAAAACAAATCCACAATATTTTTCCGCCTACCAGAATTCTCTCAGTTGAATCCGATATGCTCCTGTTCAATTTGGAACTTCTTGGAGTCACTGTCTGACCTAAAAGACAATTGCTCTGCTCTTCACCACCACTGCTGTCGTCCAACTAAAAAAATAAAAATTCAATGAAAAACTATTTGATCATTACAAAAAAATGAAAATTCCATAAACTTGGTCCCATTTTTAAAAAACAGTATGTCTAACAGTTGTTATTTATTATAGTAATGTATATGTAGCTGACAGTATTGTACTGATAGTCATAAAAGTATATGTTTCCTCAGCTCTTCTGTACAGTAGTTTAGCAAAAAAAGGAAAATGTCTTCAGAAAGTGATGGTAGTTACTAGTAAATGGAAGTGGATGACAATGGTACATGGAAAAAAGTAAGGCACAAAAGAAAATCCAAATCAAAGGCTGAAAATGAACAAAAGAGAAAGAAAATACTAACTTTAGCTGAGATCAACTATATTATTTTGGGCAATAACACCAGTACTACAAGTCAAACTCTTACAAAAACCACAGAGATAAAAACCAAACAAAAACAACCTACTAATAAAAACCAACAAACAAGAAAACTGGTTATCTTTCGCAGCCGAGATTTTCAGTGTTATTATCTTCATTTGGATTTGAAGGCATTCGTAGTTTGGAACTGCATTCTTATGTTTCGCCAGCACTAGAGACTGGCTTCTTCAAGAGGTTTATTCATCTTGATAGGTGTTTGTAGAAACAAAAACCAAAACTAACAAAACACTTTGTACTGAAATTGGGAGATCATACTGAAGAATGTTCACCGAATACTAAACAAACCTACAGGTGGGTCACTCCAACAATGTAAACCAGATATTAACATTGGCAAAGTAAATGCTCTGCAATTAATCATCAACTCAATGAACGTATCCATTTCACAATTCCGTTTAGAAAGAAAACTACACATATTTTTGGTTTACTTTCATCCCAACTTTAGGGTGGAAAAAAAGGTGACTTTAATGCAAATAATAGGTTCAAACGAAGGCTCCCACCTTCCTAATGCCAAACTACTTGGACTCAACTTCTGATATAATTTTCTACTCTCAAAACCTTGCGAACTTTATTCAAATAAAGGAAATCTTAGACCTGGGTTCAGACCACCTGGGACTAGAACTCACACTAAACCTGAATAGTCAACCACAAAATGATACAATTGTGGAATTTAACTTCCACAAAACCAATATCTACAAAATTAATGAAAAAATGGTGAGTTCCTGGAAATTATAAATGAACAAAATATAACCAAATAACATAACCAATTTCAACGAGAAAGTAACTGAACTCTTTCTAGAAAATATATCAAATATTAAACGCTTCCATCCATCATCAGCCTGATAAAAAAAGAAAGATATAACATGACTAGAAAATCAATTGTGAACCCCAGCCACAACTCGGAAATAAAAAACTCAAGACATACACAAGTTAATAAAAGCAAACTTATTGAGCTTAATGGATAAGAGTTTGAAAGGTTTATACGAATAGGAATAAGAGGAATATTTCCAAATAACGTCAAAAATGCCTATTATTTTTATAAACAAATGCAAATAACTGATCAAAGATAGTTTCAAATTTGTTGAAAGGCTCATTTGAAAGATCTATCAATTCTCTATAATAATGTATTCAATGTTTATTTTCATATCTTCAATAGTTTCAAAGTTATAAATTTTTTTAGTTTACAAATTGAGTGCTTCAGACAACTTTTGTAGTACATACAATAAAAAAATTTTAAAATAGAAACTAAGTATTTAAAACAAGTCATACACTACAGAGCATTTTAAAAAAATCCAAAGGACAAAGTCAAAAGTTTGGACTGCGATGTGAGTCCTTAGATCGCAGGACTTGCACCTAGTGTTTGATGGCAAATGATGAACAAATCTGTCTTGAAGATATTAGATCTGTTTTGTTTTCGGTTGAGTTTACTCATGCATTGGTCACTCGCCTAGGAGTATCTCAATAGAGGCACTCATATGGGCATGTGTAAGAACACACCTAAAGAAGCCATTATATTGCGAAACACGTGATCCGTTTTTATGAAACTGTTTAGTGAAAATCTTAGAATAAAGTGTTTTTTGAATAAGTTACTTACGGATTTTCATCAAGTATCGGCCAATTCCATTATACAGCAACTCGTGTTTCGCTATACAATAGTTTCTTCAAGTGTTTTCATACATTTTTTTGAAAATTGATACAGTAAGCATTGCCATGTGGCAATGCTATCCACTGGCTGGGAACTAATGTCACCGGGATATTTAAAAAAAAATCTTCAATAAGGGTTTTTCATTAGATGTACCTGGTACAAAAAACATGATTTGAAAAAAAATTCGGCCCCTAATCGGTTAACTACATCTAGAATGTCGCGACTAAACGATGAGAGGGTTTTTCAGTCATAAGATTTTTCAAAAATCATTGTTTGAAAGAATGTTGAATATGAAAAATTACATGTTTTCTTCAAAATATCCGACAATACAATTCTTCAATGTCGATAGTAGGTTACATATTTTACACTAAAATTGAGACTATCAAGAAGCTCTTAAATTTAAAAGTTACACAGAAATCCTTTTCAACTTACATTTTCAACTGACTCTTCAGAAAAATTTTGATCTACACAGTCTTCCCAGGAATCCTCTTTGTGATCATCATCATCATCATGTTCATGTTTATTCTGGTAATCCTCACAATCTTGAATCAAGCCAAGCTCATTCAGAAAATTATTTTTCTCTAGTATCTCTACTTCTTCAATATTGTAGTTATCTTCGTTCACTGTTATACCTTTCGGGTCTATATTCCTTTGTGAAGTACCTAGAAAGTGGTTTATTAGAACTAACATAAAATAAGTAACGATCATAATTCAGTTCTAGAAAAAAAATGTCTGAATGGTTTAGCATTCTTCTGCATATGAGAAAAAGCCTTATTATTTCAGTAATCTGAAAACTAATTTACCCATTCAACAAGAATAGGAAAATTATATAACACACAAAGATAGATAGATTTATTGAAGCTTCCAATTACAATTGATAAAACTCATGTCAGAAAAATGATTACAATAACAACACAAATGTCTCTTAATATTAGAATAATTAAAATCACGTGATATAGGTAAATACAATGAGTATATAAAAAAGAGAAAGGAAAATAAGTAATCACAGATATAGATTATTGAGTATAACGTAGCATTGAAGTTTTTAGGAAGCTTACATTTAATACAAACTGAAAAAGGTCATTTGTCCATGTAGTATCACGGTTGTTATCAGTATCCATTAAGGTTGTTATTCATTTGAACTGCCTATTTCAAGCGAAATGTCTTTTTTGAACTATGAAGAATTCATTTTCGACTTTAAAAAAGCAGATATCAGGGTTATCACTAATTACTTTGCTAGTGTTGACTGGGATAACTATTTGTGTAAAACAGATACCAACTTAGCTTTGGAACAATTTTACGATATCATTTATTCAGCTATGACTCTATTTATACCTATTAAACTTAGAAAACATTCTATTTACCCTTCTTGGTATACTTTTGAACTGAAACACTGTATATTTAAAAAAAAAGAAAGCTCATAAGTTGTTCAAAATAACTAATGATGACAGAAATTACATGCAATTTTCTGAATTGAGATCCAAGTGTAAAATTTTAACGAAACAATGCTATACAGAATATTTATCGAAAATCGAAAACAATATCATTAATGATTCACGTACCTTCTGGAAATATGCCAGTTTAAAAAATAATGCCAACTCTTATCCATCTTCAGCATCTTATAATGATGAAGTGAGCAATAATGATATCGATATTGTGAATCTTTTTGCTAAATTTTTTGCATCTGTGTATATTGAGTTCGACCACCAAACAATAACTATGCCAATTTTGAATGCACCCAATCTCAACAAATGTCATGTTAGTTTAGTTGAAGTTTTTAATGAAATGAGTAAGCTCAAAAATAGTTTCAGTTCTGGACCAGATGGTGTTCCATCATTTTTACTCAAGAAATGTGTTTGTACCTTGAGTACTCCAATATACTTTTTATTTAACTTATCTTTGGATTCTGGCGAGTTTCCTGTGTTTTGGAAAAACAGTTTCATCAAACCCATTCACAAATCAGGGGATAGATGTAATGTAAAAATTATAGAAGTATAAGTATTCCATCAGTCATCTCCAAAATATCTGATTGTCTTGTAACAAAACAACTTTCTTGGCATTGCTCCAGCAGTCTAACTAATCAANGAGATATGGCAGTTATTTCTGGTGTGCCTGGGATTTAATGGGTTATCATTCGATAAATGTCGGTTGTGAATCAAGCATACAGTCTCCATAATGAAAAGGCATGTAAGCGTAAGAATTTGATGCTTGATGAATAGTGGTCTACAGTGATCCCTTGCTTTGGCCTTGTACAAATAACGGATTGCTCTCTTTTGTAGAATGAACACAGAATTCCATAAGGTTTTCCTACAAAAACCCCAAAAGGGTAGTTCGTATCTAATATGGGATTCTATGAGTGAAAAATATGTGTTTCTGCCAATAGCTGTACCAAGCTCGTTTGTCACTATCAGAAGGATATATTGGCTGCATTTGAGAAGCGGGGTCAGGTCCATTCAATATATACAGATTTTTCAAAGGCCTTTGATAGGGTCAACAATAATATATTGCTAAATAAACTTGAATCTTTTGGATTAAACGGTACTATACTATAGTGGGTTGAAAGCTTTTTGAAAGAGAGAATTCAGTGGGTAAAAATCAACAATTATATTTCTCATACAATTATTGTTTCGTCTGGGGTTCCTCAAGGCAGTCATTGTGGACCAATGTTGTTTAATATTTTTGTCAATGATCTTATTGACGAAATAACTGATTCTAAAGGATTTCTTTTTGCTGATGACTTTAAGTTATATCGCTCAATCCAATCTGTAGATGATTGTCTGTTACCTTGTGGCCCGCGGAGCCTAGCAAATTTTTTTAAAGTAAAAAAAAATTAATACTAAAATTACCCTATCATACCTACTATAAAAAGCAAACAAACACTTCTTCTCTTTTACGTTTAAAATCAAAACATGCTTTATCTACATAAAGTGGGGCTGACTTTAACGTCACTACGACACTAAACATGCAAATAAGTTTGATAAGTACAAAGGTCAATTTCGAAAGGATCAGGTCAACAACTTAAAAACAAAACTTTCAGCACAACAACAACAACTATTTACAAGAGCGAATTGAGAGTCAACATGTTATGTAAAAGCAAGTTATGCAGTAGCTGCAATATTCGCAAAAAAAATCAAGCCATTTTCAGACGGTGAAATTGTTAAAGAGTGCTTGGAAAGTGTCGCGGAAATTGTGTGTCCAGAAAAGAAGAAGGATTTCTCAAAAATAAGCCTATCTCGTCAAACTATTACAAGACGTGTGGATGATATTTGCCTGCACATTGAACATAATTTTAAAAAACGTGCATCTGAGTTTATATATTATTCTCTGGCATTGGACGAAAGTATGGATATGACAGATACTGTACAAGTGGCGATCTTTATCAGAGGTACTTGTGATATACTGTTTGGAACCTTTGGTGTAGTAATGAATATTACTGGAGTTTTTTCCCAACACCAAATCGTTATTTTTACACCTCGACACGTGTTTCGATCACCAAGTGATCATCTTCAAGAGGAAGATAAAACTAATAACTACTCAAAACTAAAGCTACTTATACTAATCAGGTACATCATACAGGTAGGTAATC